CAGCCTGGTGGACGTGCTGCCCTGGCTCCAGCACTTCCCCAACCCGGTGCGTCGCGTCTTCCACGACTTCCAGGCACTGACCCAGGAGATGCACAGCTTCGTGCAGGACAAGGTGGCACAGCACCGCAGAACCTTCGAGCCTGGCATCATCCGCGATATCAGCGATGCTGCAATTGCCGCCGCCGAACATGGCAACGAATCCCCCAGCAGGCTGGGCCCTGGTGATGTCGAGGGTGCTGTGAATGATATCTTTGGCGCCGGGCAGGACCCTACGTCCACAGCACTCTCCTGGGGCCTCCTGCCCCCGCTCAGCTCCAGCACGACCTCCAGGAAGAGCTGGACCGTGTGGTGGGGCGTAGCCGGCTGCCCACATCTGAGGACCGGCCCAGCCTGCCCCGCCTGGAGGCCTTCATCTACGAAACGCTGCGTTACAGCAGCTTCGTACCCCTCACCATTCCGCACGCCACCACGACTGATGTGGAGCTGGATGGTTACTACATCCCCAAGGACACCGTGGTCTTTGTCAACCAGTGGTCAGTCAACCACGACTGTCGCAAGTGGCAAGAGCCCCAGCGCTTCGACCCCTCGCGCTTCTTGGATGCGCAGCAGCACCTGGACCGTGACCGTGCTTGCAGGGTTATGATCTTCTCAGCTGGCCAACGGCGATGCATTGGCGACCAGCTCTCCAAGCTCCAGATCTTCCTCTTCACGGCCATTCTCCTCCACCAGTGCTCCTTCTATGCCAATCCTGCCGAGCATCTCACGATGGACTGCATCCATGGGCTTGTGCTCAAACCACTGCCCTTCACTGTCACTGTGAAGCAGAGACAGCCCTCACTGACTGCCGTGTGAACTGCCGGTGCCTGTGGAGCTCAGCCAAGCAATCATCACGCATGTTGTACACCCACCATGGGGTGCCCTGGGGAGGGTGAGGGCAAGGGATGCCAACTCCCTTGGCTCCAAGAGGGTGTCTCCTCAGCAGCCCGAAGGGTCTGTGCTGGAGCCCACTTTGCAGGCAGGTGCATTTTTTTTTTCTGAGAAGCTTCCACACGCCTATTTGTAAAGCAATGGCAGCAACCCCCCCATAGTGCTTCAGCAATAAAAGCTTTTGACACAGGAGCTGGCTCTCCTCGTTTTCTTCAGGGGTAGGCAATCAGCATTCACATGGGCATTGGGGCTTCCCTCCTTGCATGGGGCACGTGCAGCTCCCCTGGTGCTCCCAAGCACCGTGGCAGCCCCAGGAATGAGTGGTGCTCACCTTGCACTGCTGCTGTCTGTGCTGGAAAAGCACCAGTTCCAGTCAGCCAGGACCTCTGGCAGAATCAGTACCATGGTGCGAAACCAAGCCACGTCCTGCTCCACATGCACTAACCGGAGTGCTGCTCGTGGAGCTGAGGAGGAGGGTCTCGGTCAGGACTGCTCTGACCAGGGCACCCAGAGACCAGGGCTGGCAAGTCTCCACAGAGCAGGAGATTGGGAAATGGGAGCTCTGGGGAAAGGCCAAAGAAACTGTGACTCTCTTGCATAGAAAAATGGGGACCATAACAGGAGCACTCTCATGAGGTACAAGGGGTTATTAAATGGCTTCTCCTATTGCCCCAGCCTGGAGCAAGGAGTTAATTTTCTCTGATCTGCAGAAGGCTATAGAACATGCCGGGGAAAGGCAATTGCCCATATCCAGAGAAGCCAAGGAAAAGCTGTGGGAGGCTGAGGCAGTGCCTTGTCACTGAAGTCTAAAGAACAGCTACCGGGGTGGTCTAGATAGACATAGCCCCCGCCTGGGGGTAGGGGTGACAGCCCCATGGCCTCTCAGAATCCCTTCCAGACTGGTAGTTCTGCCCCATCTACCACCACCCTCTCCATATGGAGACACGATATGTCTCCAAACCTATGTTATTTCCCCCAAATTTAATTCTTCAACTACGATTGTAAAGAAATCTTTCTTCATTTAGCCCAGAGAACTGAAGTCTCTCACACACCCATGATATAGATAAACTCTCCTCAGTAACTATCACTGCCTTGTATGCCACTGACTTTATCGCACTTTCTTACCTCTAATGTAAAAGGCATGGATGAATGGCTCACACCTCCAGCTTGAGTCAATGAAGGTGGCTTTACCGCGCGTTATCTTCATTCTTGGACTTTCTACACAGCAAATACCAACAAGGGGGAAGATGCTCTCAGCTGAAGTTAAGAGCACTATTCCCCACTTCCCTTTGCCCTTAACTGCTGGAGAGGCCGCCGTGCCTCCTAGTCACAGCAAACAGACATTGGAGCCACATACATGGCCCAGGTCAACGGCCATGGGTTTATCCCACGCTTCTCGCAAAGCTGTCCTTCTACAGCTGGGTTTTCTCTCTGGTTGAAGAGCCTAGCCTGAATGGGGAGCAAGGAAAATCACTGAGCCCATGCTGTGCATAAGCCATCTAAAGGTAGGGCTTTTCAAAACCAAATCTTGAAGATTTAGATGCATGGGTTTTATTCATAAAAAAGTAATTCCACGGCACTAGCTTAAAGCCTTGCAAGGCGTAGAACTGCAGCTCTTATTTCCGCAGGGGAAAAATCTGCTTACGGTAACTGCTCAGAGGATTTTGCAATGCTTTGACCACCTCATTTTTCAAGTTTAGAGAAAGAGACTGCCAGGAAATATGATATATTTTTTTAATGCTCCAACAGAAGCACGATGCTGGGAAATACTTTGTGTATTTAGAGTCCCCAGTGTCCAAACTCCTTCATCTAAGATTACAGATGTCTTTGCAAACACGCAGGTATGGCACAGCAGTGCTTGCCTGCGTGTGCAAAACCTGAAACTAAATCTTGAGTGGGGCCTAACACAGCTCTATGGCAAACAGTGATTTTGGCAGATTTACCCCTTGGCTCTCCTTCTTCCGCCTATTTTTGTATCTCTTTTCACACATGGAGAAAGCATTTCCCTAAGGTCAGCTTTTTCTCTGAACTTTAAAACATGCTTTGCAAAGTTAACAGGTACATTTTAGTTCTAACAGTGTTCTCCTCGGGAAAACAAACAAAACAACAACAACAACTTTATTATAACATTCACAAGACTTGGAGAGAGTTTTATACAAAAGAAACTCAGAATAAATGAGTCATGCACCTCAGCCTACAGGAAGAGTTAGCGACAGAGCAGCAACATGAGAATACCCAGATTGCCTACAATCCTCCTGATTCTCTCTCCAAGCAACTGGAGTCAGTTTTTGCTAGGGAATTTCCAAGGCACATCAGGAAACGGTGCCTGTCTTTGAACCAAAGAAAACTTGATTTAGAAGAAATCTCAAAAACTGGGTAGGAGTCTCATTTCTTAGTAGAAAGTGATGCTGATATTTCTATTACAAGACTGAGTAAGAACTTTCCCAGCATATCAGACAGATGCTCGCAGCTAAAAAAAACAAAAACACAAAACAAAAAAAACACACCTTTTTTTTTCTTTTTTAAACTGAAAACCAACTACACTGCTGAACTTTTAAATCCCAGTTTTAAAAACCCTTTCACTGAACAGGCTCATACTCACATCCTCTCTTTTCTCCAAAATGTCTAAGTTTCTGAAGAACTTCCCCAAACTCTTGTGTGTGTTCAACAGTGTCACTGACTTGATGCTCTTACCATCCGAGCATCACGTTTGAAAGCCCTTCACCACCCAAAAACATCTGATAATTCAAGAGATGGCCCTGCAGGCCCATCTCTTCTCTCCAAGACGGCTACCATGTCTTCCAAAAGGAAAGATTGCAAACAAGCAGAATGATATTTACAGCCCCAATTCTACACCACAGAGATGAAGTTGGCAGAGCAGCAGGCTTCCTTTCGGTGAGTTGCCCTTGCTGGGTCTTCTGTCTGGGGAAAGAAATGGGCCTTTTGGATAACGAAGCCACACCACAATACTCACACCTCGTCATTTATTTGAAAAAAACCTTCAATTGAAGCACATCATTTACCACCAAGTGTGGCTGTATTACATATTTTTTAAAAGGAATTTAAGTACTAGTCAAGATATTTACATACAAAATCTGCTATATGTGTAACCCACATTATTATAAAATACTGCTATATAAACAATGTTATTTGATATTTCCCTGTAATTTCCTTTTGTATTTCTCATACCATACATGCATACAAATACAATGACATTGTATAGACAGACTTTCTCCTGGCAGTCAGTTTTCTTCATGTACATATATATTGACATAAAAAGCAAAATATCAACACAAGTACCTTCAAACAGGCCCACTTTCTCCTTAGATTATAAATACTTTATTTCAAACAGAACAACACAGTGAGGATAAATTAGGCAGCTTCAATTATTCCTTAATATAGTAAATTAACCACAGGTAGGTATGTTTTAAAAATATACAGGACTAGCTCCAGAAAACTATCATCTCACCTTCTGATCAGATTTGAAGAATGGTTTCTAAAATTTCTACCAAAACTTGTACTAAACAAATTTATACCTTCTTGTGGTCATAAAATGTATACAGTCCAGGAATCTTTATGAAACTCACATCGTACTCTGGGAGTGGTCAGTAAAGCATGTGCAAATATAAAACGAAATCCATTATTTCCACGCTGTCTGAAAGCTATTATTGTGTATTCCTCTTACAAACAGCAACGGCCTCCTTTGCTGCCATCCCTCCCAACATGCATTCAAAGGCTGCACATCAAGAGCCTGACAAGAGGAAGCTTCATATTTTATTGCTTAATCAGAACTATGGTCATTAATCACATTCTTTTTATTCGTAGCAAGCTAGGAAACGAGAAAACTAAAGAGGTTCATTTGATCATTATATTGCAACTTTCTGGAGATCGGAATGAAAAGAGAATTTAGCTTTTACCTATACTTGAAAGGCTCTCAAGTTTTGTCATCTCCTTTCATCAGGTTCTCGGAAAGGCATTAATTCCAGCAGATACACCAGACCTGAAAAACATCTGTTAATGCCAATGCCCACCCTAGCTCTTTAGGTAGATGCTGTGCCTCCAGAGGAAGCTGTTCCTGTAGGAACACAGGAATAACAGACCTCAAAAGCTTCCTTAAGAGATGATACCACACACAAAGGACAAACAGGAGTGGAATGGCAGACCCCAATCTTTTAACCCCAAATTGAAGTCTATTAAAAATATAGATGTCATCTAGTCACAGTCCAACATACCTTACATACATCTTTTGAGATGTTTCACCATATACTTTCACTCCCCATGAAAAACACTACCTAATTGTCTGTCAATAATAAAACAGGATGATTTTTGGTCTGATTTCAGAATATACTTCATTTAGCCTATAGCCCAAAGCATTCCTCCTGGGAAGCTTTACTTCACACCCATTTTAAAATTAACCATCATAAACATGATCCATCCACATGAAAAATTCAAACCTAACTCAACCCAAAATCCCAAGCAGTAAGCAAAAGGAAGAACAAATCAAGCAACTATTCTCAAGCCTACTTGATCTACACAGATTTACAGCCTCTAATTTTAGTTGTTTTGAAATAGACAGCAAATAAAATATCTGAAAGTCAAACTAAAATACATGCCTTTGGTAACCGAGAGAAAACTACCTTCAGAAAAATGCATAATTGAAAAGACTCCGCAAAAGCTTAATGTTTTGACAGGTTAAAGAACACTTGTTTGCAGATAAGTAAAGCTATCAACTCTTGATATTCCAAGTATTTCATTTTCCCACACCTTCTATTACATATGCTGAAACCACTTAGTTTTAGAAAATGACAATGTATAAAACAACACACAATAGCAAGCACTATTTATTAACAGCACTCTAGAGTTTGTGGGTAGAGAAGGGCACCTGGGTACCTTTAGGAGTACAAGAAATACCCCTCATTCAGCAACTCCTTTTTTTGTGAGCAGTTATTAGTTCCTATGAGATAAACACCTGCAAACCTTCTGTGAAAAGATCAATTGTCTGACCTTTTCAGACGATCAAAGATCAATGGTGTGATCATCATCTTTGGAAATCAGTGCTGAGAATCTAGAGTTCACAGACTGGTTTAAGCAACCAAAAAGAAATAATTAAAACTCTGTGCAAACATTTAAAGACCAGATGTTTTTAAAGACCAAGATCGCCATCCACCAAGAAATACTCAAAACAAGACAGACTTACATAATGCGCTCACATGAAAAAAACAGACAGACTGATCTTTCCACAGAAGGGACTGAAAAGCATACATTAATTACTGAAGACCCCTGTAATTAAAATATAGCATCCAGTGATGAGCTTTGAATACACACACACACAAAATAGTGAGCAAGCTGAGTCTCTCAGAATTCAGTACTACATTTAAGGTGCTGAACAAATGAATACAGTTTTGCCTCAGCATCTTTTTCAGTGTACAGCATAGTTTACCTTTTGGTTTTGGTACCTAGAATCTGTCAGAGAAAATTCCAGTTGTCAGTCGAAGTTTAAAATCTTATGACTCCTTTATCCAATGCAAGTAATATTTCTCTTAAAAATAGACTTCATATTGTGAACAAGTCTCACTGGTCCCTTGACGGTACCTTTTTGCTTGAAAACCAGTAGTTAGGAATACTTGGAAATGCAGAACAGGAGTATGTTTTCAATATCATCAGTATTTTCAAAGTAAGGAAGAAAAGGTTGGCAACCCACTTTTCTAAGGCATTGTAGGTTTTTGTTTTTTGTAGTTACCTTTATCTAGTTTCAGTGTCCTTGCCCATCTGGGTCCATATGCTGAGGAAAGTAAGAACATCCCACTGCCTTCAGCACATTGGACTGAGTTTAATTGAACTTTAGCTCACTGAAACATCTATGCAAATGACATAGAAGCAGTTGCTTCAGCTAATTACATTAATATAGTATATTCAGGAAGAGTCAAAATAGTGAATCAGGAAAAAAAAAAGTCTTGGGTGAAGATTCCCATAGGAATCAGTTAAGTTAACCAGAAATTCAACTTTTCCTATAAACAATTGCATTTCCCAAATAGCATCCTTGTGATAGTTTGTTACATGTGTAGAATTTGTGCAATATATTTTTTGGAAGTTTACACTAAAATAATGTGAAAATCAGAATCACTTGGCAGATAACCAGAAGCTAACGAACATAGTTAGCTGATTTCATTTGTAAATCAAACATCTCCAGTGCTGTAAGGAGGGAAACAGGCAAGAATTTTATCTGATTAAATCCCAGCACGATCTTTTCCGGGAACTGCTGATGAGACTGCTGTGCATTTTGCTTATAAACTCTTGCAGCTTATCCACGAAGTGCAATCAACTTTGTCAGGATCATGAAATCCCTTTGGCAGGGCTACGTAGCATCAAATGGAATGTGCACTTGTTATTCCCGGGTTACACATTTATTCTTCCCAGATTAACTGCATCTCCTCAAGTTCTCTCTTGCTTTCTGCATCCTGGAAATGCAATAAATGAACTGATATATATGAAGATACCTCAATTTCCCTTTTCTCCTCTAACCCCCTAAGAAGTTTTTAACACCTCTTCCACTCCTGCATCTCTTCTAAATGGTTCTTTTCCTGTACATTCTGAACATGAGAGTCTTTGATGTTTATTTAAGTTTTCCAAAGTATTAAAGAGACTTTCGGTAGCAAAACTCTATCCTTTGTGCTCTCATTGAATTTCTTATGAATTTCCTTCTTTCTTGCTTCTCTATATGATGGAAGTTATTAGACCGATTATTTGAGATGAAGAAAACTAACGTTTGCAAAAACTTAAGCCATTAAAGCCAGTTAAGCATTGGCTTCCTTACTAGACTATTTTTCTTTTAATTCCACATGAAAAGATAGAACTGAGAATTGAGGGCTCTTCCGCCCCTTGCTTTCTCCTGGTTTCCTAAAAATCTCAGTGCTTTTCTGATTGAGTTGTCTCCTCTCCGATACAGGTTTTTCTTATTTTCCAAAAAAAAGTGTCCTGTTTCTACTCCAAGCAGTCTGTGGTGAGGAAGCTCATCATCTGGAAGAGCTAGAATATTTCCTTGGGAAATTGAGAAGACTGGAATTCTGCTTGATGCCTTGGCTTCCCTACATTTGGCAGCACGCGGTAGCCAAGTAATTTCTGTAGTACTGGGCAGCACCCTGCAGGTGGTAGCACAGGCAAGTCAGCAAGTTTCCAGATGGTTGGTCAAGACTTGTGTGCTTGTGGTTTACATCTCAGGAAAACACTTATGGTGTAGCCACACAAAAGATAACTATGGCTTTAATAACCGAGTATCATGAAAATGCTCAGCATATTTATAATGCAGCCTAACATCTAAATGTTTACTCTGTTGGATTAAAGATGAAGTAAACTCTGGGGAAATTCTTTACTTCACTTGCATTGTTCATAATGCAAAGAGCATCTGATTAAAATCAGCAGCTGCTGTGTTTTTAACCAGTTTCTAACTGGCAGTAGTTTGATGGTACCTTCTATACGATTTTTGCTTTGACTTTACAAAGAACTCCCAGTTGGGAAATGCTCTCACACAGCAATTTCTAAAACACACTCTGCCCTCCATAATCTTGTAGGAATAGCCTAGGTAAAACAACCCAAACCCCCACAGATGGTGGGCAGCACTCAGCAGAAACATCCAATCTGTTCCAGTCTAGAGGATGTGAGAAGCTGACTTGGCACCTGCACAATTAAACTGAGGTTGCTCCTCTAAAGCCACACAGGTAATTAGAATAAATAACGTGGCCCTAAGATAACCACGTAGCTTAAATGCACCCATCTGAATTAAGCTGCTACATGCAATAGTGCCCAAACTAATATACCTTCCCCTAAGCCAGCACACTGGGCAGTGCGCTGCAAGCACTCAGTGGCTTTGCAGAAATATCAATTTATGAGTCACAGCTAATTAGACCTGCTGGATTTGTGCAGGGCATTCAAATGTGTCTACAGCCTGTCCCTAGAAGCATCAGAGTATTTGCACGGTGTTATGCTAGACTTCTGGGCCCTGCTAGAGTCTACCTGCTTTGAATGAAGTCAGTTTTTCTAGACTGGCTGGTTTGAATTAGTTGATATGAAACGCAGACAAACCACCCAACATACTCCAGTGTGAGTAAAATAAACAGCAGCGACTGCTACCTCTTTCGTATTAACTGGCAGCTCTGAAGCAAGATTCATCCAGAGAAGAGTTGCAGAGTTATTCCCCAGGTCCCTGTAACACTGCAAAGACAAAAAGATCGTGTGAGAGGGGTTAAGCAGGAGAAAGTTACTACACAATTATAGAAAGCACCTAGCAACTGACAAAAACAGTTACTTCCACCTTTTTAGCATTCATACTACACAGTTTCAGGTTTCTGGTATTTCCTGCAGTACCTCATTCATAAAGTAATATAAACACTATCATATCATGAAATATTAGATTTCCTTTCCTTTTCTTGATTTTTATCTTTCTTTGGGGTGAGGGGGTTGCTTTTTGGGTGGGACATTTTAAGGTCTCCCTCTTTTTCCACCAATTCCTCTGATTCATTCTTATTTCCACTTATAGTGTCATAATTCCTCATTATTCCTTATAGCACTTTAGAAATTGAAGGTGTTGGTGTTCTAACCTGTTGCTTAGAAGTCACTGTGGCCACTTGATATAGTATTTCATCTGTTATAAAACAACTAGAATGTTTCACAGGATTAAATGCAAAATCCTACCCAAAAGTGATTTCTAATATATCTGCACTAGAAGATTTGTCCTCTAAATATATACATACTTTTTAAAACATATGCATGTTTTTAACTTACAAACGCTGCTTTTGCATGGAGTAATTTAAGATATAGAGATAAGAATCGCTGCACACAAAATGTTTTGCATATATAAAATTTAATGCAGTTATTTCTTATCCTAGAAGCACATGACTGAACTAAAATAAGGCAACAAGTCTAGTGAGAGGGTGAGTAGTTACCTTGGCAATGTATACTCTTCCTGCCTTGGAAAATCCCGGGCTCAACTCCTCCACCTACAAAGAACAGAGCAGACGTTAGGACAGAGTAGAGAAAAGCAGACATTTAATAATCAAATATTTTGCATCTCTGTTAGGGGGAAAAAAAAAAAGAAAGAGATCAGCAAACTCCAATTTAATTATACAAATCAGATTAAGAATATTATGTAGGTGAGACTGACTTGGTTAGTAAAGGCCTCAGATTCTCGTAATGTGCCTGTGATACATGGAGATGCCAAGTCTGGGCAGCCTTCACTACCTCCTCCAGCACATGTTGTTGCTGTTAGAGCAACCTCATCCATTTTGCCTTCTCCTGAACATACTGGTGCCAGAGCTCAGGAAATCTTTCCCAAATTTTCTGTTTTTCACTTCCCACTTGTTAATTACCAGTTTGTAATCATTAATGCCCTTCTAGTTGTTCTTCATCTAAGTTCTAGTCATCACTCCCCATTCATACTATTCTTCCCTTATGTTACTACCATCCTCCCTTGAGCTTGACCTTAACCTTATCTCACCTGCATTCAGTTTAAAATATGCTCTACCAAGATGCCTGAGCAGTGAGAACACAAGACAGACACTGTCCCAGCTAGAGTAATTTATTTCTGTAACATTCATTAGAAGTACTCAAGAGTAGTTCTCACAGATCAAGGCTAGACCATCTGCTTAACTCATTCATATTGTGTAGACACTAGCAATAAGCAAGAGTTACATGCTCACAAATGTGACTCAGGGCATGTCTTAAATACATTCGTATCATTGGGGAAAGTGAGCATAGGATTAGAATTCCCATATCTTAGGAAATACAGTGCGGAAGAACATAAACAACATGTATCTGAAGGCGTAAAGAGCATAAAAGACTTAATATTAAGCACTGTACCCTTTGTGCACTTTTTAAATGGAAAGACAAAGTCTTCTGAATGTTGTAGATCTAGTCTTGAAGTCTCCAGAATGCTTTTTGTTTTCTGTCAGGCTACTCTAAAACCGTATCCCCCAAATTTTTGGTTGTACCATATTTTCCTCCTGAGATTATTATTAATGAAGCTATATCATGGGGCATTTGCAGACTACTGTATTTACACAGGAGAAAAGTATTCAGATGCCACACTTGTGATCCTGTTTGTCAGGTGAGCAATTCCCTTGCTTATCTGATTTCAGTACCCTTAAAAAGTTTTCCAGTGCATCTTGTACAGTGGCTGTAGGAGGGGCTTCAAACAAAGCAGCAGCAGTCTTTTTTTCAAGCCATCCCAGATGAGAAACCTGCAAAAAAATGAAACTATCATACCTTCCACGTACATAAAGCATATGCAAAAGGATACAAAGACAGTGAACTATGTAGTTTTATGGAGCTCTCAGGGACCTGGTAGGAAGCCAAAGATCAGGATAGTGTCAGCAGCCTCTGGTCGAGCCTCCTGTGCAGCTACCGAATTAAATCTGATGTGCTTGTTCTTGTTCCTAGTCACATTTTGCACATCAGCAGCTACATGCAGAATGCTCCAAATAAAATTTGTCTTTACAACCAGCTATTGCCACAGGGTTACAGTGAGGGTGGTCTCAAACCCAAATCACCTTATTGCAATCAAGTCAGTTCCTGGCAGTTCTCACCTATCATAACAGGAAATCCCCACATGCAGCTGTCCTGTCTCCCACATTAAATCCAGCATGAGAATATGTACTCAAAGATCCCTCAAGACATTTCCATACCGTTCCACCTGTACTTTTTAATACAGTATTTGAATTCAGCAGCTGCACAGATCATGCTCAAAGTTTACATCTAGTGGTTCGAATCCACCTGTCTTTCATCCAAACATCAAATTCCAAAGAAAGAAACAGTAAGAAAATAGTAATGAACTATTTTACCTGGTAACACCACCTGCCCAAAAGGTAGTAAGACTTTGGATCATCTGGTTTCAGGGAAATTGCTTTATCAATGTGTTCCTATGGAAAACCACCAACACACATTAGGCACTTGTTATAAACAAACACCCACAAGAACAGATTAACTTGTGTGGAAGGAAGAAAGGAAGGAGAAAGTCCACAATTTAGTTAGCAGTGATAATAAAGTTACAGTACAAAGAGATTAGAAATTTCTTAAAACAGTTTCAGTGATCACAGAAAGGCAGCATTATCAGCCTTAGAAACAAGAATTACCACACAAAGAAAGCTGCTCTACTGCTTTTCAGATCCTTGACTGCAACCAAATTACTAGTTATGTGAATAGATGGCCAGGTAATAATTATCCATGGTCTGTAATTGATGTAGGTGCATCCTCTCATCCTACAACACCCTTGTTGAGGATAAAAAGGTAAATGAAAGACTTTAAGGCAGCTAAGCACTGTGAAAGACTTGCACTTCCCAAAGGATACAAGCACACTCGCATGTAACTGTTGAGGATAAGTTGCTGTATCATTTAATTTAAACATGGAATTACCATGTTGTAAGTTCACAGTTTTCCCATGGTATGTGTCTATTTTAGTGGCAAAGACACCTTTATTCCTCCTTTTTTTTTTTCCTGAGATCACAGTGTGCACAAGCACACGGCCAGACCCACTCCCCCTCGTGACAGTTATTGACTGCATTATTGAAATCACCTTCACATCACCCACCAAACTTCTCCTTTTGAGACCTATCACTCCCCTAAGAGCTTAAACCTATTTCCTAGCTTGCTGAAATAGAGAGGAAAACAAACAAACAAAAAAAAACACACACACACATAACTGTTCAGCACTCACACAAGGACAATGATGCCCTTTAACTCACCTTAAAAACATAGCCAGCTTGAATGCGCTTCTGAATGCTCTCATGTTCTGCCAACTGCCCACAAAGTATAGCATACCTGCACATAAGTCATGTTTAAGAAATCAACTGTTAGCAGCTGCAAAAAACATGTTACATTCTGTAGGTATATTCCTTCTAAAGTGCATATAAGTTTCACAGTTTAATGGGGAAAGCAGGGAACATCTCTTACAGGAAAGGGACATAGGAAAAAAATAGCATCACACAAGGTATTAGATCAGAGGAGATCAGCGAATCGCAAAGCAGTGGTTTGACCAGACACAAAAATTGAGAGCATTAATCATTAGAAAGTCTTTTTTCTATATAGAACAGGAACAGCACAGCACATTTCTACACTCTGATTTTTCTTTTTATTTATTTTCAAGCTCAACAATGAAACTGTGTGAAAACCAAAGTCTGTAACTACGAAAGCCATAACTACTAAAAGCTCTACTTAACTACAGAGTGGATGACAGTCGTCCACTCGCAATGCCAGATCTACAGCACACTGAATATCTACTTTGAGGGAAAACATCAGTGAAACCTACCTACATCCTGCAGCCCAAAACTGCCACCAAACTTGGGAAACAAAACAATAGTTTTTTTTTTTCAGTGTTGCAAGTCAAACTCATTTAGTTTTTACCAGTAAGAGACCACAAGGAAAGGAGAGTGCCTAGTAAAACCAGTTATTTCATGAGCAGTGAACATAATGAAGCCTAATTACCTGCGGAATTACACTCATGTCACCTCCCTGCACCACAGCGATTCCAAACCCCTCTGACCCTGCAGCTTGTATAAGGCTGATGGACAGACAAACAGCAGCAGAAATACAGAAGCCTCATTATTTCAGATACAGAAAAATAAAAATTAAAAAAGGGATCCAAGTAAAATTTCCTTGTTATTTCTTTTATAACATCCATAGCTTTAACTTCTCCAAGAAAGCATCATAATCCCCTTTAAAAAAATGGGATCCAGTGGCACACTAAGCCGGCTTCATCTGATCCCTCCATACGATGTGCCTGTGGCTTTGATAGCCATATAAATATCAACTGCTGCAAAACTCAATTATTAAGATTATCATATCAGATACACGTATTTAACAGCTCTGTGAAATGTAGCAGCTAGTGATTAGCATTTATTAGGGGCCCCATGATATCTTCATGATACAAACTTAAAAACCAGTATGAGATTCCTGAGCAGTTTTTTTCACTGCAGTCCCCAGATAAAAGCCCCAACTCCAAACAGACCCGCTTGGTTTCAGACGTTGGCACGAACTTCCTTTTTCCACAAGTGCCTCACAGTCCAGAAGGGTTGGCCTGGCCATTGGTCTTGCAGACAAGATCCTGCAGGTCTGAGCTTTCTGGCTGGTCAGGTCTTCAGATCCTGCCTTCTTCCCTCTGTCATGCCAACGTGGTGTCTGCTTTTATCTCCCCTACTTGTCTAACTTGGCTTGCTCTTCAATATTTGAGCTATTTATTCCCATTTGTTTTTGCAAAATGCCTTGGGATGAATTTCATGAGAATTTCATGAGTTGCAGAAAGATTAACGAACAATAACAGGATGGACGAAAAATAATGAGTAAGGAAAGGGGACTTTCTTCTTCTATAAACATTACATACCCTCCAAAACAATTGGATGCCCAAGTAAATTACCAAAATCTTGTATTATGCTATTTGCTGGATTAATTATTAACCACAATTATTCATTAAGTTGCAGACCTTGATCAATCAAAAGTCCCCATTGGAATCTCAGCACAACAAGGATTTCCCTGTTCATAAGAAAATGAACTCTGCAGAAAAACAGTGCATATTCTACCAGAGGAGAGCCTATCTGTTGTTCTTTCTTAAATCCCAGAGCTCAGTGCATGTGGCTTTGACAAAATTACATTTTCAAGGCTGCACTCTGGCTGGTACCCATTTAAACAAGACATTTGGCTTTGAGATTTTAAGGTCAGTCCAGACTGAGTCTCAGACACTTTGCTTTCCATATCAGTCTTGAGGAACCACTTACTACCAAGCTGCCAAAACCTTAAACCAATTTAGCCACAAAATACTGCACACAGAAGTAAGAAGAAACACCACAAAGATAATATATAGATCCATGCTGCTCTCACAACTTGTGTTCTGCATAGAATTCTGTCTCTCTCTTCTGAAAGAAAAGTTGTAATACGACGACTTTTCGCTTGCTGTAGTTCACCTAATTTTATATTACCCTTAACACTGCTACTAGAAAGGGTTACAGATGGTATGGGGAACTAAACAGAGTTCTGATCAGTGTGACCAATCCTGCAATCAACAGAACCTATAACGTATTTTGAAACTATGTATTATCCAACAACTCTGAGTTTTCATACACAGTGTGTCTGTATTTCATATACTGTGTAACATCTTATCATAGTTTTTTTTCCTTTAGGGGAAAAATTAATTAGTGTAAAAACAGACTGTAATTAGAACAGCCTGTGACCAGTCCACGACCCAGACAAAGCTGGAAAAGGAATGATTTCCTGTTTTATTTATGATAGGAAATAATTATTTCTATTACTGATAAAGGTAGCTACTTATTCCTTTCCAATAAACCCCATGCCTCCCACATGCAGCTCTGCTATTTCCTTTCTGCAGCTGCTCTTTTGAATTAAATGCAAGAGGCAGATGTGTACAAAGACAGGAAGCTTTGCATCCGTTCAGAGGAGGGATAGGCCCAAAGGGACAAGAGCTTGTGCACTCTTTCATCAAAACTGTTCCAAAAAGAGGGAGGCCCCGGTTGCAACAGAAGCATTGGGCTCAGCTCTAAAAGCTCAAGATTTGCTGTTAGAGACAAATGACTAAATATCATATTACTGCCAACACAGCCAAGATATCATTAAAAAAAAAAGCCCATGAATTTAATGGGACCACACTAAGCTTCTAACACAAAATTCAGGAGAAAGAAATAACAAAGAAGTATCAGCTTTAATAAGACATAGCCCAGTCCTGAAAAGTTCACGCAAATAATCTGAACCTATTCACGTTTCAGCCAAACCTCAGAAACCAGAGGTCCTCAAAAACCCTTGGGTCAGCTAGTTCCGTACACAAAAAAACTCTGGTTTATAAAATTAATCCATCAATATTACACTTTGAGGTGGAATTCTGTTCTGTAAAATAAGAAAAGTTCAAGTACTAAGGAAGCTTAAAACTTTTTGAACAGTCAATAGGGTGACTAAAACACATTCCTTCAAGAGGTTAAAGCATCTGCTAAAGATATTAGGTACACTGCCTCCCCCAGAACTCTTGCTTTATATCTATAGTTAAATTGACAAGCGCTGTTCATTACTAAGAACTAAAATACACAGTCTTTTTAAGGCCATAAATGCCAAACATCCTCCAGGTACAACTATTCATCTCAAAAGCACATAGGTCTCCTTCGGTAAAGACATTTAGCACCCTGTTTTTTCTGACAAAAGTATAACAACTGCCACTAAAATTCCTGTTCTTTTACTGTTTTACAGATGATCATGCCTACACTGTAACTGCTAATCAACACTGCTTACCAAGCAACTAACTCAAAGACCAGAAAAGCCGGTTGTCTGCCACTGTTTTGTCTGTACCAAACTATATTGCTGCATATCTTTGCACAACAAACAATCTGTTCAACTGCTCACATAAAATCTTTGTAGAAAAAAAAATGCAGTTAGTTACATTAATTGCTGTGTGTGCTGAAGTGAACCAAAATACCAAAAACAACTCTAAGCTTAGTTTTGGCAGATTAATTTTAAAATAACCATTTTTTGTTGATCTAAAGGTACCACAAAGACAAATGTGTAACTCCAGAACAAACTCTATTATTTGAGTTCAATGTTCAGTTAGCATTTTCTGCCACTTAATTCCAAAATTGTAACTCCTAGCAGAGTTTTGACGTCAGTGAGAGTTTAGATAACATTTATGTAAGGAAAAAATCATAGCAATCTATTTGGAAATTGTAGAATATAAACACACAAATTCATCTTTATCTTTCAGTATCAGATTATAAGTTCCTGTTTGCAAATTCCAGAATTCAGTGACAGACATCACAGTTACACAAATCTCTTAATTCAAGAAGCATCTTGCCCTCGCAAGGAAGGAAGAGTTGTCCAATATCCTCTCCACCCCAAGAAGGCTGGTGCATCCCCACACACTTCTTCCTGAGGTGTTCCTTTTAATCTGACATTTCAAAGGTTTGCACGTAAGAACATGCAGTTTAATTCCCAACTTAGCCTGCTGTAAACCAAAGGGAGCTTATTGCTCTCATTCATCTCAAGCCCATTTTGCCAATAGCCAATTTTTCTGGATTCATCTAGAAGCTGATCCTTCACTGTCACCAGCATGAGTTAAGTGCAGACTGTCAAAAAACCTTGATACCACCTACCCTCAGTACTCACAGAAATTCATTAACCTGGTTGTTAGCTTCTGTTCAAGAAGTCTTCTGGACAACTTCTCTCTGTGAGAAGTTCATAATTAAATTGCTACCAGTTAAGCAAATCAAATTTTATCTCTGTAACTGACTACTGCCTGTCAGGCTATCACTTGTGCCTGTAACTGACTACTGCCTGTCAGGCTATTACTTGTGCCAATTAACAAAAGCTGTTAATAACGGCTTTTTAAGGGAAATAGTACTAGTATAGTATGCTCCTAGTAAGAGGCAAATGACCTTTTGTGTTTTTTAATGTAGCTCAGCTCATGTTATTCCTTTTCCAATGTTGCTTACGAATGAGAACTAAAAGTTACATACCACTGGTGACACTCAGCACTCTGATCCCATTTCTGTAAGGCAGCTTCTATTTCTTGTTTCCCTGCAGAGAAATTCAGAGGTAAGAAATTCAGTCATCATTTCTCCTAGCTCCTTTCTCCAGTCTGCTAGAATACGATAATAATATGGCATAAAACTGTATACATTTCTTAATTCTGGAATATTTTGGCTTGAAAATGCCCTGTGAACAACTACACGTTATTGTGATTATATGGAGCATCTAAGAGTGCTCAAAGAGATCATGTAAGTTTAACCACAGTAGCAAGTTTACTGACAATGGCGTTCCACCATGTTTGAAAAGAGTTTTAAATGTCTTAAACTGCTGTAGTGGTTTCCAGAAAAGAACAATTTCGATTACTAGGGCAATGAAAAACTCAATAGTCTTTGTCGCGTATATTAAATGAAGTTCTGGGGTTTTTTTTTTTTTCTTTTTTTCTTTCTTTTTTTAATTCTGCACCACCTACAGTGTTCTAAACAAACAGATTTGAGACAGTGAAGGAGAATCAGGGAATGAAACCGAACAGATTTCAGTAAGTAGACACATTTATAAATTTAGGGTTTTTTGTTTTTATGGCTGAATATCATGGTAACACAAAAAAGTTAAATGCATTACAGCAAAAATTTATCTCATCACACTTGCATTCTGTGCAGTATTCAGTTTGAGAAAACAGACTCAGGCCTAGGTTTACCTTCCTTTTCTGTTTTTCAGAAAGCAAAATTTCAACACATACCATAGCACTACTGTTACTCACTTCCTTAAGTAAAAAAGAGGATCTACAATATTGTTTACAATGCAGGGTTATAAATCCGAAGTGTAAAATCAGCTTTGCACATGCCCAGCCCTGAAGACATATTTCCCTACCATCAGATGCATATGATTTCTTCTCCTCTGCATCTTCTGTGATTTCACACATATCACTATATGCTCGGGCCAGGCGCCAGAGGAAATCTTTCTGGTCTGCGTACTGCAATAAAACCACAAATGTGATACATCAGCTCTGTGGGAAATCCATTCTGCCATTAACAGAACACATGAGGAAAACAAGTGTGGACATATACAAGAGGAGTCACGCAGACATATTTTGAAACCTTAAAAAGGCAACAAACCTACAAAAACTGAAATGGAGTAAAAACATAAAGCCCAGCCACCTAACACTCTCATTGGCTTATTTTGCAACAAATGTCACAAGATGATAGGCTTGCCATTCTTTTCTCATGAGGAGAAAGAAGAATATGCCTTAGAATTAGAATCTGGTCAAATAGTCTGTTATTTCTTTCCCTGTATTTCTGCTGAAAATGCGATTAGTGATTCTGCTGAGAGGGAGTCGCTGGAAGCAGGCCCAATTGTGCAGAATCTAGACCCTGCTAAGACACGTGATTTCTTTTCTCCCGACCATTTAGTTAAAAAGCACAAATCATTGCTGGACATATAGAAAGTCAATCTTTACCACCAGTTTGTTATTAAGGAGCAGCTGGAATCCTTCTGCCTTCTCCTGCTCATCTCCATTATGCAGCTGGTCAGCCTGCTGCAGGAGCTGACCCATCCCTTCTTCCGCTGAGGAATCTGAGATTAAATGAATGTCATCCTCGGTGACCAGGTCCAGTGAATCCCTCCGTGCAGTCCTCACTGTTTCACAGCTCACTTCATCTTCCCCTTCCTCGCTCTCTTGCTCTGACTCCCGGTCATAGTCAGACTCAGCATTGGCTGTGGTATACCTTTCAGAAACAAAAATAACGCAAAATTAGCCTGAGCAGATATAAAACTGTCATAGAAAGCAAACAGTTCTCTTAGGCCTTTTATTTTTTAAGGATTAAGCGTATTCCAAACAGACCGGGGTCACACCAAGGCGAGGATTATGGAGAATTTCAATACTTGATATAACACACTCACCTGTGTAGAAGATCTAATTTGAGCATTTTAATAATATTCTGCAGATTTTCTAGTACCTGTATCATACTGTCTGAGCTCCAAATACGAAAGAGCTTGTTCACACTGACGTGACTGACATATGAACAGGTGTAAAACAGTAGAATGACCAAAAGCATTTCCACATGAGAAGTAGTCAAGCAGATGAGCCACACAGACATCACAAGTGCACAAAAAAACAGGCAATGACTAGCTGCTAAATTAGCCAAGTGAAAGAGAATCAAGCTTAGATCAAACTTTCTGAAAACAGCTAAAATAAACATAAACATTTAATTCTAGATGCTACCTCAGTAAACTATGCCCAAGCCTTGTGTTGAACTTTAAAAGCTCCATGTTACTATATGAACTCATTGCAACCATGGGGGACAGGGAAGGCATTAGGTGCTGTACTCCCTTCAGGCAGCTTAAGGAAATTGCCAGATCATCTCATTTACTCTGCATGAACTTCTCACTGTTCTCCATAGGAAATTCTAGTGCTCTGTGAGTGAAGCTATCTTCATCTGGAAGCAAAGATATGCGACCAAAGTCCATATCTAAAGAAGGCGGTTACAGCAGTCTGGCCACACACAGATAACCAGACACATTTGGCCTCACAGAGTTTCAGTTTTCCAAGAACCATTAATTATGATCAAGCATTTACCCTCTCTACTAGAGGGTAAATGAATATCCTCACTCACCACAGCCTCTAGTCCTCACTTGTAGTTTAAAACACACACCTGTTTAAGATTAAGTAAGCAGAACTGCATTTAATGGATAGCAAACACAGTGAGCTAGATGACCCCAGCTTTGCTTCCCTTAGCTACATCATTTTCTGTACTTAAACAGATCTCTTCAAATTCTCTCGATTCAAATTAAGCATGATAAATACTGAACATAACATCATAAACAAAAAAATCCAGAAAGATTAAAGGATTTGGATGTTACCAGCAAATTCTGCCCAAGTATATGATGATGATGAAAAGTTCTTAAATATTTTAGTATGTTAAGGCCTTGCCTAGCACACATCCTGAATGCAACCATCCTATCTGGAAATAAAAAACACATCGAAAGAGGAGACAAAGAAGCCCAAAAGAACCATGAAATGCCAAAGTAAAACAGAGAAATCACCTTCCATAAAACAGTGAGAGCTTTGGCTCCTGAAAGCTTGTGATAATTTTGGTCAACTGTGTATTAAATCTGAGAAGATATTTACATCTACGTGGTTTACAAAACAAAACTGTAGCAGGACTGCATTCTCCTAAATTTAATTAAAATAAGGCAATTACCAGAAATGAATACACTATTGAAGTTTATCTACTGAGGATAATTTTATTCTTCCTCCCAGCTGCTGCTAAGAAAATTAAGGAACCTTTTCCAAAAAGCGCATTTCCCACCCAGATTTTCTATTTAAAAAGTTTAGTATTTAATCTCTAAAAGGCAACACTGCATGCTATAGGCATTTGTTCCTGAACCCACTAAGGTTATACCTGTTTGTATAGGACGAACACCTGAGTCAAATGATTACTATTCAAATATTTTTTGAAATCAGATGAGAGCTGCTAATTCTCCACACCAGTTCTTAAAGCTATCTATAGTTGTTAAATAAAGTGTGAGAACTCCAACTATCATCAGCTTCCCAATAAAGGAACAAGGTTGTACAATAAAATACATCCCTGCTCCACAGCTGACAGAAGCCTGGGGAGACAGGCTGTGTAAATATCAAGCAGCCTGATAGCCTATAATTAATTATTAATTATTTTCTAATATTTTCTAACTAAAAATTAATTATTTTCTTCTGACTAGATTATACTTGGATCTGGTATCTGTTGAAAAACACCATCCTTTTGGCAGGCTTCACAAAATATCTGCTGGCACCCTTTATAAGTTAAGGCATCTGTCTTCAGGACCAGCTATAGATTACAGTCTTAAAATACACCTTCACTTTGCACTTTGTTATTCTGGAAATCTTGCATTTTTCTCCATCACGAACCATTCACTCTCTTCATTTCCTTTCATATGATCACTCTGAAACCCTATGCACTCCAAACAAAAAAAAGCAGCTGGATAACCCAGATGAGACTGAACTCCTCTGTGCTCCTATTCCAGTTATGGGAGATACTAAAAAATGACATGTCTTTGTGGAAGTGACAAAGACTGTGCCCTTTGTCCTGCGAGCCTGATACAGTAACTGCTTTGTCCTGTGCTTGCTAAGCCCTTTTATAGGGCGGCAGTTTGCACTAGCTGACTGGGCATCCAGCTACTGTTCAGCAGAATGGTACAGGAGAGGATTCTGCCTGCCTTGCTCGCAGTGGTATCAGTTATTTCTCTCTTTAAATTGCCACATGCCATCCAGACTGCCAATGAAATGCCACTGGAAGGCTCCAGCTTCCTTTTTGAACAGTCACAAGGGTCTCAGAGAGAATGTTTTCCTTACAAAATACAACAGGCTTCTTGTTTCTTGCTACAAGAAAGGCAAGGGAACTTGCCTTTGTTATAGATTGCTCTTATCTAAGTAACTGGGCATCAGACCCCATATAAACAACTTTTAACCTGGTGTTCTGCTTACCCTCCTTCGCTTTCACCATCATCTGTATTGGTTGCTCCTGAGCTGGCTGTGAAATAAATGGAACTGGAGCCTGTGGAATCACTTCTTTCCCTAGGAAACAGGAACCGCCTTCGGCGAGTTACTTTGTGTGTTTCTTCTAGATGGGACCTTTAAGAAAAGCAAGGGACAAAAAGGGAGGGAAAAAAAAAAAAAGCAAGCATGTATTTGATAATGAAATGTCTGCTGTTGCCCTTCAGTATCTCCTCTCTAGTACATTCTACCCAATTCATAAAGTTCGTTGCTCTTGCTCATAGAAAGATCTTATTACCAGAGAGCAAACTTGGTATATGACAGTTAAAACCAATCTGACTGCAGCAATCCATACTCAAAGGGACAATCACATTAGATGCATTCCTGTGATTTCCTCAACAAAGGAATCCTGAAAGATCTTGCAGCATACAGGACCTTTTACGTCCCCCATCAAAAGTTGCCTACAGTTGGCAGTGATGTGAAACTACAAAAAAGGCATCCTACTTTTTATCTCCAGGTTTGACATACTCTTAATCTAGACTAGTTGTAATTCTGCACATATATACATTTTCCACGTGTAAAAACATACTATAGAAAAACACTGAAAGGGGAAAGACTAATACTAACTTGATTTCACCAACAATTTCAGCAGCTATGCACTGCAAACTGTTTCGTAGCTCTTCCACTTCTTGCCGCAGCTCTGTAAAGTTCCTCAGTACAAAGTCAAGGCGATCCAGCACCTGCTGCTCCTCGTGAGTTACAAGAGGAGTGTATATAGCACCATCTCCTGCCTCCATAGGAAGCTGCCTTCTGGGAATGGCTGATTTAGAGGAGGGAAAAAAAGGGGGAAAAAAGTTAATTACATACAAAGGGGAAAAGATTCAAAACAGAAAATCCCAATCCTGTCAAATTTTTGCTTCCAGGAAATGACAGAAAATATGAAGGTGGCTCTCAAGTATTGATACTAGTCCTGTGGCTTTTGTTTCTTCAATTGTTTTACCATTCCTTTCTCTGATGCCCACCTACACTGAATATAATTTCAATGTTAATCAGGGGCAAATAGAGTTCTTTTAACATTACAACAAAATTTTTTTTTGTTAAGACAAAAAAAAAACAAAAAACACAAGTCTTACCAAATACCACAGAGACTACTGCAGATGAAGAAACTGCTCCTTTTTAAGTCTCCATTGTTCATTAATTTGACTTCTACTCTATTTTATGTTTTTGCATTAAAATGGCACCTGCATACAACAGCTTATTTTTTTTACTATCAACTCTGCAGGCCCAAGAAGCATTAGTTTACATGATAACCCACAGCAACAAACCATGGCAATGCCAGCTAACTTTGGCCAGGGAAGACCAGAAAAAAAAAGCCTCATTTTCACTGGGGGAGCAGGGAGGAAGACAAAAAATAGCAGTTTAGCCCTCAAAACACATAGCTGCTGTGCAGTACTGAGTATCTAGGGCCCTCACTGACCTCTCTGATTTCTTACAGATTTAGCAGCACAAAAAGCACAGGGTTGGACCTACGGGCTTTGCGTGGTGCTTGCTCAAAAGCCCATAGGAAGTTCTGTTACTCGAGGGACGCAAACAGTGGGGTCCCTACCCTGGCTCCGCTGCCGCGGGGCCTCCGTGGCGCTGGGGCCCGGCTCGCCCGCTCCCTCGCGGCCGCTCCTCCGCCGCCAG